TGAATTTCAGTAAAGATCTGGTTAGGCATGTCTGGAAGAGGAATTAGTTTGCTTTCTAATGCATTATTAATTTGTGTTTTTATTTCTTTAAAGATTGTTTTGTCAGAGTCTTTGATTTGAAGGAAGCCTCTAGCATAGTGAATTATTCTATGTATTTGTCTAGGTGGAATATAGGAGAAGTTGAGATTGGAGATATATTGTGTGATAAGCTTCTTTTTAAGTATTGTGTGAATAGTATTGCAAGTTGCAGTATTGTTAAGTATAATCTTATTATCTTTTTTGTAGGCTGCAAAGGCTTTGTCAAAAAGGTTAGTATACTCCTTTTGGTATGCTGGAGTGGTTTTGAAGTTACAAGTGAATGTTGTAAAGAATCTGGTATCAAGATGTATGAATTTTAGAAATATTGCCTCTGGCAGTTTGAATTGAGTAGGTGTGGTTGCTAGTTTATAACAAGTAAGGTTGTATATACCTTCTGGGGTGGCAAGGGCAGTAGTAATAGTATCATATGTCTAGGTTTCTGTATTGAATGGAGTATTAGCAGAGGCAGATACTCTGTTGTGTAGATTGTGGCCTATTTTATATCATTAGGAGTATTAGTGGCTAGTAGCTTAAGGTTGGTTTTGGTAACTTGGCTATATGATAATTTGGTTATAGAGGCTTGATTGTTAGCAGAGGGCCTAAAGATAGTAGAAGAGCTGCCTGGGAGCATTTTGGTGGTCTTGTTGGAGGTTGTAATAAGTGGTAATATATTTCTAGATCTTTTACAGTTAAGCTACTGTTAAGTATAATAGTTTGGCTTGGAGGTGTGCTAGGTCTGGGTATAATGTATACAGTAGTATGGGTATTATATACCATATCAGTTGAGGGTGTAGTTGTAGCAGTAGCTAAATGTGGGTTTGTATCTTTGTTTGTATTACTGATTTTAGTTGTGAACTTGTTTGTTTGATCACTAGCCAGGTCATATAGTAGTACTGGTTTCTTTAGAGGTAGAAGATATGAGTTGTGTTTATTGTTGCTTTTATTAGATTCATTATCAGATTCAATTTGTATAATAGAGTTATATAGAATTCTTGATAAATCAGGAATGCTTTTAGCTTTGGTGTATAGCCTTATATTACTTTTGTATACTTGTATGATTGTATTGAGATCACAGGTGCGAGTTGATCTCAGAAGTTTGGCACTAATATTGACAATGTTGTTTTTGTAGATGTAAGGTCAAAGAGAACTGATTGGGTGATATCATCATGTTTGTAGATCTATTGTGAAGGGTAGTTTGCCAAATTTGAAATTCTTTCTGATTTGGTAATATCAATATAGAAGAGGAAGTCATTCACATGTTCAGGAATAGAGAAGCTGATAGTAAAAGTAAGTTTAGTCCAGTTTTTGATAGTAATTTTAATGAAATTTTTTGTGTTTTATTTTTGAGGTTGGTAGCTTAATGCTAGTTGGGTTGTCATTTGGTTGTATAAACTTGCAAGATAGTGAAAAATAGCTAAAGAAGGAAGAGAAGCCTTCAGAGGCCATGTTTTTGTTTGAAGACTGGAGTTTCATTATTTGAATATTTTGATATTTCTTAGTATTTTGGTATAAAAGATTAATAGTACTGCTATAGGGCCAGTTGGATGTTAACTATCCTTATGTCTGCTTTTGTGAGAGGATAAAAAAACTGATTTTTGTTTTTTTGACGAGTTTATTGCTATTTACTTGCTAGAGTGAAAACTTTTTTAAAAAAATTGCACCTTTTTTAAATACAACTAGAGAGCCTAGATAACTTTACTTAGAAACTGGAAACCTGTTTACTTAGTAAATTTTTGAAATAATACTGTGGGAAAGTTTTTTTTTCTTGTTTCTGTTTTAGTAAAAGTGATTTATAAGAAACGTTTTATGGTTGTTTATCAGAACCCCGATATACAAAATCCCAATACACAAAATCTTGGCAACAAAATCCTAATACACAAAATCCTGACAAATTAAATTCCTAATTTTAATATTTTTAGGATTTTAATTTGTCAGGATTTTGTGTATC